TTTCAACTTAGTGGTTAAGACTTGTTTTATTTCGGTAACTGTTTAAACGAGACAGATTTTCAGAAGTTTTTGATATTCTATAAGTTTTCATTGAAGAAGCTTTCAACTTTAGGCGATGTATTATAGAGGCATTCAACCATGGAATTTTATTTTTCCGGACTGGAACTTTACTCTCCAACTTATAAAAATTTGTCAAAATGCGATTTGGATTTGACAGAGAAATACCCTCATTCCAGTTAGTATTCTCAATCTCAGCATGAAACATGGGTAACTTTGATTTTGGAATCCTTTTAATGAAATTATGCACATGACCTGTAGGTTTCGTAAGTTTTTTTTCTAATGACATAAATAAGTGAATGATCCAAGATTGAAGTATTTATAACTCCAGATATGCCATATATGGAGGATCGATTTGTGAAAATAAGATCCAAAATGGAATTGCATATTCTTGCCAAATCTTGTTGGTGCTTTAATTAACTGTTGAAGCCCTTAGTTTATAGACATTGCTTTCAGGCCTTTGGAAGTTTTATCAGCCCAATTCATATTGAAATCAGCAAGAATCACAAACTCTTTTGATTTTATGCTTTTTATGTCAGTGAGCTGCGCTAAATATTTAGTTGAATTAACACTTGAGTGGAGTTGGGACTCCACCATGGCTGCCTGATGTCACGAGATCAACCGATACAGGTTTTTGAAGGCTGATACCGATTATTTTGACATCAGTCTAACCGATACACCAATTTTTGAAGCCAATATTGCTTTTTCTTCCTCCATTAACACAATAGCATAACAATGATAACAAATGTTATACAGTCTCAATTTAAAGAAAAAGGAAACATTTATTAACTGAGCCTTGTCTCCCGTAGGCTGCGTTCACACAGAACGCGATTTGAGCATCAGGGGTGTCAGGTTTACATGCAAAGTCTATGGTGGAYGCAGGTCAAGGGGTSTCGGGAAATGCGGCACGTCTAGTGCGGCATGTTTTGAAAGCATTACAAGCGCCCCTCTGCTTTAACTGCTGCCCACATGACCCGACTCTGGAACAATCATTAGATAATGGATGGATGGATCAAGGAATGCTTTACATTTTGAAAGAACTAATTGGTATAAAATGGATTAGTTTCAAATGTCTGTACGTTCAGGCTGAGTTTTCTTGTCCCCACACAGCATCTGTACAGGTTCTGGTGGAGCCCGTTGGTCGTTGGTTTGAGGCATACATTCGGAGGAGAAACAGGAACCTGTCAGCCTCTTTTCAAGAGCTAGAAGAGGAAGAGGAGTCCTCAGAAGATGAGGAGGATGAGGAGTTCCAGCTTGAGGAGCACCCAATGCTTAGAACACTTGATCCAAAAGATTGGAAGGTACCTGGAAGACGTTTTTAAATGCTTTATTCTCTGTTAACATCGTGTGACGTATTAGTTATATTTTGTTTAGGTAAAATACCTTTTGAAGATATAATTGCATGCAATGTAAATGGCATAAGATTTTATTCAAGATATCTGCAATAAACTACTGACTGTCTGACTATCTATACCTATATTTTAGTTATAATTTTAGTTAAAATGTTTATTCATTTCATTTACAAAACAAAACAAAACCCGTTACTTACAACTAAACAATTCAAATCAAATAAAATGAAAGGTGGCAGAAGAAGAAAAAAATCTTATCTGCCCCTATTAAAAAAAACACCAATAATAAATAACAAAACAAAACAAAAAGTTCACTCCTAAGCGTCAGTTGTCCCCCTCCTACAGTGCTGCTATTGCCAGTATCACTTCACCCCCTGTTAACAATAGGTGTTAATTAGGTGTCAACGATAGCCATGTGATGTGAGTATCAGTCACATGGAGGGCTTAAAAGCCTGAATTTTGCCTGAAACTCTCAGACTGAAGAAGTCTCTTGGAGGAGAGACGAAACGTTTCATTAAAGAAGAACCCGTCCAGAAGACCTATACAATTTTTTTCTTTTAGATACAGTATATTTTTGTTTTCTTGACATTTTTATCGTATTTTTCATATAGATATCAAATGGTAAATGGCTTGAACTTATATAACTTATCAAATCCACGTGGACCCCAAGGCGCTTTACACTTCAGTCATTCACCCATTCATACACTGATGGTGGTAAGCTACATTGTAGCCACAGCTGCCCTGGGGCACACTGATAGAGGAGGGGCTGCCATGCTCTGGCACCACCAGACTCTCTGACCACCATCAGTAGGTCAACTGGGTGAAGTGTCTTGCCCAATGACACAGTGACTGAGAAAGCAGGAACGGGGGATCGAACCGGTGACCTACCAGTTCCAGGATGACTCCCCTAACCACTCCACCACAACTGCCCTCAAAATTATACTGTATAGACTGAAATTAGGAGTTATGTTGTGATATAAATTTTTAGCCACATCCATCCAGCCTTACATAAACCACTGAATGCCGTACATAAATAGAAACCTTACATTTACAGAAATATTCAGACTTTTTGCAGCAACACTTGATTGTTATCTCAGACTCAGACTGCATCTTGATCTCAGGTGACATGTTTTTACTCTTTGATTGGTGTTAACCTATATGGAGCTAAATTGATGGGACATGATTTAAGTTGGCACACATTTCATCAAAGGCTTTCTAGCTGAGGTCAAACAAACTGTTAGCAGAGCTCAGACGCAAGATTATTGCAAGGCGCAGGTCTAAGCATGATTCTTCAGCTCTGAGGGTTTCTYGGACCTCAGGGATCTCCATATTTCTCAGATGGGTAAAGAGAAGGATAAAGGCCTTAGTGAGAGACGTGCCCAAGAACCTGATGGTCATTCTGACTGAACTTCTGTGATTGTGTAGAGACAGGGCTAAGAATGGCAAGCATCCACTGATCTGTGTTTTCAGAGTGGCTCGATTAAAGCCTCTCTGGAGGGCAGAACATTTGAAAGCTGTTTGAAGGTCTCTCAGACTGCGAAGAACAAGGTTCTCTGGTCTGGTGAAACCACAAATGAAAGAGTTGAAACGTGTATATTTTGGCTTTTTAAAAGACTAGTTCTTTCACAAAGCATACTTTTTTCCCCCTGACAAATCATTCATCCCAGTACCACCAGCTGTGATCAAACAAATGTAATCATCAATTTTGCTTTTTCAGAATCAGGATCACTATGCTGTCCTTGGGCTCCCACACTTGCGATACAAAGCAACACAAAGACAAATCAAAGCTGCTCGTAAGTTTTCCTCTTTTTTTGCTGTCATTGATGCATTGCCTGATTTTCCCAAAGTTAAAATCATTTGCTGCTGTTTCTCTACAGACAAAGTGATTGTATTGAAGCACCATCCTGACAAAAGGAAAGCTGCAGGTGAACAGATTGCTGAAGGAGACAATGACTACTTTACCTGTATAACTAAAGGTTTGTAACATTTTGAAGTTTGACAGGTCTATACAAATGGTATCTCTCATATGCTTTGAGCTGATTCTCATTGTGATATTGTTGCYGTTTGGACCATAGCTATTGAAATCCTGTCTGACCCTGTGAAGAGGAGAGCCTTTGACAGTGTTGACCCCACCTTTGACAACACTGTGCCTTCTAAAGGTGAAGGCAAAGAAAAATTTTTTGAGGTCTTTTCTCCCGTTTTTGAGAGAAATGCTCGGTGGTCTTCCAAAAAAACTGTGCCCAGTCTGGGAACCCCTGACTCATCGTTTGAAGAGGTGGACAGTTTTTACACTTTTTGGTAAGTAAAAATGTTTTTGGCATTTGCTCTGAGGCTGAGATGTTGACTTCCAGCATGGTGGGGATAGGGTGTGAAACCAATTGAGCAGGGCTGTAAACAAACTTTTTGCACTGGTTGCACCAGTGTGCCTAACTTTTTTTCCTAGGTGCTCCAGCACACAGTTAGGTGCCCCCAAATTTAACGTTACAGTTTTATAGGCTCACCTTTTCTTTTAAAAAACTGTCCATTAAGGAAAATTACCTCAGTAATAATAATTAGTTACCAATCTAGTAAACATAAAGTTCTATATTTGAACCAGAATTGTACATGACGTATAACTTACTGAAAAAGTATTTAAAGTGATTCTATGACCTGAAATTGTAACTTAAACATCTCAAGATAAATGAAATGAAGAAATTCTAAATTCTGAGTGCAAATGTTTAAGGGCTGAACATCTTATAAACATTTCATGGTGAAATGTCTTTTAGACTACACGTGCCCTTCAGATGGACAGCTCCTGTAGTTTGGCCTTCTGGATCTTTGGCCTTGGCTAAACCAGCTTTCCACACTCTCCGTAGCATCAAAATCCTCCAGACTTGGGCCCTTTACTCTGCTTCTTATCAGATCGTCCACTGTCTGAATGAAGGGTTGCTCTGGTGTAACTTTTTCATTTGGGAAAAACCCCACCAACATACAGTATTTTACATATCATCTCCACTGATGCTGCAGCCATATTTTTTTCTCTTCCTACTCACGTCTGGACTTTTGTAAACGTTTTCACTTTGAGGACATGGTGGAATGTCAAGTGTAGTGGACATATTTAAAAGGCACAGATGATAATGTTTTTTTTTAAGAGAGCAGCACGTGCAGGGTCACAGAGGAGCGGACTCAAGGGAGGAGAGGAGGGGATTTTAAGTGCTGGCGTGTGTTACCCTCMATTTACACTGGAGGCAGTTCTGCTCCGGTCTGACCCCTGCAGTAAATATGCAACCTTAGAGTCAGTGAGATCATTGGCTCTGCACAGTGGCACAGGGCAGACTTATGCCCATGGCGAGCCACAAAAATTATGGTGGGCTGTCAGCAGCTCTYTCCAGCAGATTGAATGTTGATGTCTAATCCATGCCTGTAGGGCAGTCTTACAGATTGTTGTTGAGATACGTACAACAGGCTCTGGTCCTTTAAAGTGGGTCTGWCTGCCAGCTTTTGCAAGGTAAACTCTCACATTAGCATTAATTGCAAGTATGCCATGGCACCCATTTAACAGTAACACTGTTATCTCTCCCCAATTGGTTGACTGCTTTGGCACACTGCCAAGCCATTAATGACGTTCAAGCCCCTACTACACTCTTGCGCCTGTATGCGGTTCACCTCAGTACAGCCTTGGTCAAATGTGTCTCTATTTCTTGTACCAACTGAGYACAACCGTACACTTTAGAACCAAGTAAGATAAGAAAAGTTAAGATAAGATAAACCTTTATTGTCATTGTACAGAACACAATGAAATTACAGTTCAGAACACCCATTCAGAAGAAGACAGAACATAACAAACATAGGAGAACAGGTGCTCTGGGTCATGCAGCCACAGACCCCTGCACAGAGCAAGGATCATCTTCATGAGGAGGCGCAACCCTTAAAAGAAAAAACAAAATACCACACAAGGATGRATGAGGGAAAAACAAAGCAAAACATATTATATCAACGAAATGTGACCCACTATGGTGTTTATAAAGCACATTTATTAGCCAGAGGAGTAAGTGAGTTTAGTGGGGCATGTTTCTGAAGCCATGAGTGTTGTATGCACTTGTATGACTATCTGAAAAATGAGCCCTAAGAATCTAGTCCTCAAAACCAGCACGTGTTGACTGTTCATTCTATGCGGCCTTTGGCTTGCTCCAGAAACAAGATCACAGATGGGAGTGAGAGAGGGAAAGGTGGGGGGAGCGAGCCACAAGTCGACGTAAACACCCAGGAAAATTTGGTTCCACAGCTCTTCAAGGCCATGTAGGGGAGAGCCGAATCTGTAATCAGTTGTTTGGAAACGGAAGAAAATGTTTTCGGCCAGGCAGACACTAATAATTTTCCATCTGCCTTAATGTCCGCTGGTACCTCTCAATGTGGCGAATCCAATCAGACAAATAGTGTGGACAATTCCACCGAGCTATCAGCTTCTCCAAGATCAATTCCATCTCACCAGCAAAGTCCAGGAACCACAGCCGGCCCGCGACCCTCAGCAGAACCGCTTGCAGGCCGAGTCTCACAGGGCTAGAGTCTGAGTGCTGAGAGCACTGCAATCTTTCATATTCATCAGGCAGCCAGGAAATGGCCTGAATAGCCACCGATGTTGTTTTGCAGAACACCAGTAGACCACCAAGCCAATCTGTAGAATCCAGTGATTGGAATCTAATATWTGTTAGTTGAACAGAGCAGAACAGAGGTCCCACCTTTGACATGTCCTCCCATGGAAGAAAATTTGGCTGGCTAATTGTCCCTAATTGGTCCCGAGTCTCGACATGGAGACTAATTGTGTCAATGACACCCATCCCGACCAAAATTTTTTTCTAGTTGTACTATTTAAGAAATCAGGTCACATTTGTGACCAAATTGCTTGCATACTAGACCCATGTTGAAGATAAGATTTTAATCTTGCTTATTTTTTCTGTTAAAGGTACAACTTTGATTCATGGAGGGAATTTTCTTACTTAGATGAAGAGGAAAAGGAAAAGGCTGAATGGTAAGTAGCTTTTGATCATTTGTGAGAATTGCAGAACTCAGAATGATGGACTTTGACAACCATAAGACGCAGATTATTTTGAAACTTAAACCTTTAAAAGATACATGATTGGATTTTGTTCTCTGCAATATAATAAGGGACAGAGTCCTGCAACTCACTCAGCAGCAGCTTGAGTGACAGCAGCATGTTTTTGTGCATGGCTTTTTAAATCCAGCRYTGATTAATGTTCTCTGAAAGCGTGTTTGAGCACGGTAAGAGAGCGTCTCCATCGGTGACTTCTGAACTGCCAGAGGGAGCGTCAACATAGAACAGGCTGTTCGCCTATTTAGCGGGACTGTCTTCTGAAAAAGGCCTTTCATGTATTTCTGGGTCCACTGCATCTGTTTCTGCTTCTTGTGAGCATTAGTTAGGGCTGGCTGAAGAGAAGGTTTATGCATAGCAGCAAGCCTCTGGTGGATCCTACATGTTGAAGTTTGCCAGACCCCAGAGGCACCAGCACCTTTGAATATCTGTTTGCTGCTTGGTAGTGGCCTTTTAGCAGCTGCTTTCTTAACTTGATGTATTTGTCTGTCAGAACCTTCCTTTTTTGTGCCTTTATCTGCATAAATCTATATGTGCTTTAAATCAGCCACAAATCTTTTAAAGGGATCCCCGATTAGTTGTAACATTAGACTTTATTTGATAAACATATATTTTAACTGTAAAATAACGACTGAAAAAATACTGTAGGATATTTAGTTTTGTAAATTTTTTAAAATATTTTTTAACACGAACTGAGCCATTTTATTTACACGCAAAGCATTCTGGGTAAATGATGACATGGATAGGTCCTCAGTATGAGCGAGCTATATCCACCCTGAAGGTTAATCTTGGACAATATCTGATGATCGACTCTTTTAAATGAAACCAGAGAGCGTTGACAGAGAGGAGAAGGTAGAAATGACTCAGCCTGTAACTGAAAATATGGATGGAGGACAACAGAGCTGCTTCATGGAAGAAGAACCTCAGCTTAGCCTGTTAGCCTTCGCGCTAGCGCCGACGCTATATTGCCTTATATGTATTAGCTCGGTGCTAGCGCTACGAACAAGCTAAACTGAGGTCCTCCATCCATCATTTTTGTGTTCCCCTCTCTGTCATGTGGATGGAGGACCTCAGTGATGAGAGGAGAATGTGTAGCGCTGAGCTAATACATATATATAGTGATAGCATTGGGGCTAATGCTAAAGCTAACAGGCTAAGCTGGGGTTCTTCTTCCATTAAGCAGCTCTGTTGTCCTCCATCCATATTTTCAGTTACAGGCTGAGTCATTTCTACCTTCTCCTCTCTGTCAACGCTCTCTGGTTTCATTTAAAAGAGTCRATCATCAGATATTGTCCAAGATTAACCTTCAGGGTGGATATAGCTCGCTAGCAGCCTCGCACCGAGGACCTATCCATGTCATCATTTACCCAGAATGCTTTGTGTGTAAATAAAATGGCCCCTTCCGTGTAATATATTCTTTAAATTTTAATTTGAAAATTATAAAAACTATCGTCCTCAATATGTGTGAAACATGTTATAGTTCAATTCAAGGTAGTACATCGTCTACACTGGTCTAAGGACAGATTGTGCAAATTCAAAAAGGACTTGGATCCGACGTGTGATCACTGCGGACAATCTCCTGCCACACTTCTGCACACATTCTGGTCCTGTCCWAAGCTACATGGATAYTGGCAAGGCATCTTTGACACCKTTTCAGGACTATTTGGACGAACTGTTCATCCATCACCAYTCATCTCTCTCTTTGGGGTGGCTCCAGCAGAAGCTTCCCTCAGTGAACATTAGAGGACGGTGTTAGCTTTCTGCTCTCTACTGGCTAGAAGACTTATTCTTCACCCTACACAGAAACAGAAAATGATTTTACAAGAGCTTTTGTATTGTAATATTGAGAGTGAATATGGTTTTGTACTAGTCAAAACTGATACTAAATTAATATGTCTAGTTTCTAGTTATGTACATGCAGCTAACACCTGACTTGGACTCTTGAGTATGATTATGTTTATGAGCCAAGACGTTTTCTTGAAATTTTTTATTTTTGTTTTTCTCTTTTGTCTGTGTAGCCTATGATTGTTGAAAAGTTCAATAAATTCATAAAAGTAATACAAACACTTCAAACCAGAAGGTTGGTGTCGTTACAGCAGCTTTAGAATAAAAATCTTTCTTTTGGGAAAACACTTCGATTAGTCTTCGACACAGCGGCACCGAACACTCAGCTGTGCCTTCTGTATGAAAAATGCGGAGAGAAAACAGTCAGTACATGTTGTTTAGTACTGCATGGTTAAAAATGACAGCTCAGCTAAATATTTAAGTCCAAAAAGTGTGAACAGAATGATTTGAATAATACATTAAAAAAGAAAAATCATGCTGCAAACGTAATGATTCTTTTCTTTCTCTCTTTTTTATATTTAATCACAAAACATTAAACAGACTGTCGTGTCAGCTTCATCTGCATGACAAGGACAGATTAATGAAAAGCTCGGCCAGAGTTTCTTTCATTTGTTGTTTTGAATTTTGTTGAAGCTTTTTTCAGAGTTAAATTCAAGAGAAGTCATGATCYGTAGGCTCAAGAGGTCCTGCTGGAAGAGAGGTCCTTCATGCTATAATAGCTCCACAGGTTTTCTGCAGATGGATTCCTCCCTGCAAAACGTCTTTTATCTCCATGAGTTTGAGGCTGTTTCACTAAGTGTAATAAATGTGTGCTTCTGGGTACAACATTTGGATTTTGGAAGTGAGTGGTTATTTATGTYTTTTGTTTTTGGAAGCAAATGATTGAAGCAAAATTCAGCGTAAAAAGTTCTCCCGGCAGGCTGGGACAGGAAAGCGGGTAGATTCGAAGCTGCAAATGGAAGGACGCAATTTTCGTCATGAAACTGCAGCAWTGAGAGCAGATTTTTAACATTTTTATGTAGTACCAGGCCAGTGTTTTTTTCTTTTTCTTTTTTTATTGTTAATTGCAGAAAGATTGTCTTGTTGATATTGTCCCTTCATGTCTGCTGACTTGCACCTCACGACATTTGATGGTTCTCATTGTGTTTGGATTAACGCCTTCACTTTTCTCTCTGCAGTCGAGATGAAAGGAGATGGATTGAAAAGCAGAATCGAGCTTCCAGAGCTCAGAGAAAAAAGGAGGAGATGAACAGAATCCGCACACTAGTTGGTAATATCTTGGAGCTGCTACAAAGTCACTGCGGCTCATGTGAATGTTGTAAATACTGACTTTGCTTGGCTGCAGATACGGCGTACAGTTGTGACCCAAGAATAAAGAAATTCAAAGAAGAAGAAAAAGCGAGGAAAGAGTCTGAGAAGAAAGCAAAAGCTGAAGCCAAGAAAAGAGAGCAGGAAGAGAAGGAGAAAGTGAGTGGAGAGTAAAATCACGCTGTGAGACAGCTCTCTAACACAAACAGCTGCTTCACCTGACAACGCTTACATTTGCTTCTCAATCACACTTTTACTTTTCAATTTCATCTTTCGCTCTAATAAGGCACGGCAGGCGGAGCTGGAGGTGGTCCGCTTGGCGAAGGAGAAGGAGGAGGAGGAGGCCAGGCAGGCAGCCCAGCAGGCGAAGAAGGAGAAGGAAATCCAAAAGAAAGCCTTCAAGAAGGAGAGGCAGAAACTGAGGAGCACCTGCAAGGTCAGCCTTTATACACAGTTTATTCACGTTTCTGTGTTTTTAATTGAGTATCTTCAAGACCCCATACCTTCAACTGACCAGGTCATTTCTTTCCTCTCCACAGAACTGGAATTATTTTGCTGACAATGAAGTTGACAGTGTGAAAATGATGGAAGAAGTAGAGAAACTTTGCGATCGACTGGAACTAACAAGGTTCAGTAAGCTCTGTGGTCATAAGTCTCATTAAATCTAATGCGTTAGTGTTAGACACATTTCTGTAGACATAAGGACATTTTCAGGTTGACAAAATCTAGCTGTCTTGGCAAAAAAATCTCAAGAAAAATGTAGTTTAATAAGTATATTGTTCTGTTGACAGTTTACTCTACAAATGTTCTCATTCAGCCAGGTTGAGAGTTTCAGGAGCTGCTTGAGTAGAACTTCCTCATTCTCAAACATTTTCACTTAAATAGTAGTATACTGTGTACATGACCTAAATAAAAGTATGTAATTTAGTGTTCTCTAATGAAGCGTTGACCTCAAGGCTTTAAACTGCAACATTTAGATTTTTAAGACTGTATACKTATTAAAGAGAGAGGTCTTAACAGCTTTTCTCATTTTGTCGTGTTTCAACTAAGGGGCTCTGATAAAATGAATGAGACAAACGCTTTACAATATAGATGTTAAAATAGGACCAAAGTAGTATAATTGCAAAAGAAAGGGTTTKGGCAATATTTCTTGCTTTGAGGTATGCAGGTGATCAACACAATGCCTGACAGAAAGACAACAGCAATGACCTTAGTTAAAAAGTAACTTACCCCAAAATAATTTAGCTGATAAACTGCCTAGAATGTGTCTAAAATGTTATATAGTACTGTTTCTGTGCTAATTTTGATG